TTAAAAAAAAAAAAAAAAAAATTGGAATGGGATATTCCTTCTTCACATTTTACATGAATGCACTTTGAAAAATATTTTGCACAATTTAATTGTTAATTTGGATTGGAGATTAGAATAATACTTTTAAAACTCTAAATATTTAACAATTAATTACTTTATGAAATACTTTTGCAATGAGTATAAACAATTATGAGTTTAAGTTTTACTTTTGTTCTCACCTTCTTTAAAAATGTGTGCGTATGTATGTATGTATATATATATATATATATATATATATATATATATATATGTAACAAATTTCATAAACAATGAGGCGCCCGGGAAAAAAAGAAAAAAAAAAAAAAACGCGCGCGCCACGTCAGCAGCCACGTTAGCAGACCCAGTCAGCAGTCCTGGCCAATCAGGACCTGCCACGTGGCAAAGCCACGTCGATCGGGGACGGGCCACGTTGGCGATCCGCGTGCGCACGATCGGACGACCCAGATTTAATCAAAATGGACGGCTGAGATCAAAAGGCAAAAGGGTATAAATAAGACCCCCACACCAGACCCCAAACCCTAGCCGTCTGCCCTCGCCGGAGAAGAAGAACCAGAAGCCGGCCGCCGCCACCCGCCGCCGCACCGAAGGGATTTCCGACCGCCGATCGAGGTAAATTTTATACCCCCGACTCGTTTTTCCACGCTGATTTCCCCAGTGGCCAAATCGGAGCCAAAATCCCGGCCAAACGGCCGGAAAACACGGCCGAAAGCCAGCGGCGCCGCCGCGCCCCTCCTCGATTGTTGCCTCCGATGAGGCCCTTCCCGGCCTCCATTTAATGCAATTTTTATATCACCGTGATCACCATTCTTTTCTCTACAGGTTGATCGGAGCCGAATCACCAAAACACGAACTTCACCGGAGAGCCACCGCACCCGAGAGCACCGCCGCCGGTAAGCTTCGGTTTTTCGTAAATTTTCGGCCCCCCGAGGGCCGTAGGGTTGTTTTATCGCAGGAACCAATGCGAGTGTGGCTGAATTCGGCCGGAAAGGGCTGAAAACGGCCAACCCGAGGCGAACCGCCGCCGTGCCAGAGTTGCGATATTGGCCGAAAGGGGCCCTGGGCCTAATTTGGGATTTTTTGGAATACGTACAAGTACCAGTAGTGCGTTTCAGTTCCCCAAAAAAAATTCAGGGAAAATTAGGGACAGCCTGTAGGCGCACTGTGAAGCCGTGTTCGGACCCCGAAACGAGTAAGGACCCCTCACCCTATTTCCTATCACGGTCTTAAAGTTCAATAAATGATAAAACGGTATTTCATGAATCAACGAATGTGTGAAATTGCTTAAGGTCGCTAATGGAGCCCGAGTCTAGTGTGTTTGTCGGTTAACTGTTATTTGGCCTGTTTACAGTTTTAAATGCAGTATGAGATTTGATGTTTTCATTTTATAGTTTCGTGTGCATATTTTACTGTTTTATTGATTATAGATTGAATGACTGGGATATTGATGCTGTATGTTATCTGTTTGGCATAAATTACCGTTTTGCTTGTTTGTATGTGATTGATGATGCTGACTGAGGAAAAAGAGAATGAAAGATTATGTAAATGGGTAATTGTATAATGTGGTCAGCCTGACTAGATATCCTGGGAGATGGTAGACGGATCGGGTCCGTAGGGAACCCTACCGGGATTGTGGTCTCCCATACCGGACGGGATATGGAGATCTTATGTGTTTTGGCGCCCATACCGGACGGGATATGGGGACGACCCGTTTTACCCTCATACCGGACGGGATAATGAGGTTTATAGTTTTGGCGCCCCATACCGGACGGGGTATGGGGACGACCGTGGAATATGATTTCAAGTGTTAAAGGGTTAACGGGTAGCGGGACCCCTATGGATCCCCATGGATACTAGTGGGCTGGTAAATGAGGAAAATATATTGTGTGACGATTGTATTACGAAAGGCTTGATAAGTATTACGTTATACAGTTTATATATGATTTCATGATGATGATGATGTTATTGTTTTCGTATATTGTCTTATGAATTTCACCGAGATAAGTGAATGGTAAAGGTTTTATTATTGATAAAAGGTTTTGTTGTAAATTATGCTCCATTGGTCTTTTTGTGTTTTCTACTCACCTTTACCTCCGTGACGGTGAGATATCGTGATGTCTTTACTGGGCTAGTGTAGTTCATTCCTTATTTAATCATTTCAGATCAGGAAGACATTGTTCCCGAGCCAGTTCCGCAGGAGGACGACGAAGGGGACGCTTAAAGACTCCATAGTCATATTTGTAGCTTTTACTTTCAAGTTTCTCCTTTAGCTAGTTTGATCTTTTATATTGTGAGCACGTTTTTGGTTTTAGTGTAAGGGATGTTAATCGAATTTTTGACTTCGCTTCCGTATTTGATATTTTTAATATATATTCCATTTTAAATTTCTGGGGCCGTTACAAACAAAGTTAGAAAGTATAAGAATACAAGGTTTTGTAGAATATTACATTTATGGAAGAGAGACTCAATGAATTTTAATAATCTCGTTCGATAGTAAATAGTAATGAATTTGATTTTAGACGAAAGATTCATTAAATATTATAAATATTTATATATTATTTTGTAATTTGTTAAAATAATAAATAGGTATTTGAGTTTTATTATAATTTATAAAAGTTATTTTAATATTAAATAAGTGAATGTATAAATAAAATATAAAGCATAGAGAATAAAAAATAATGAACGGTACGAAATGATTTTGAAAGAATTTCACATTGGCTAGTATGAGTTATTTATACGATCTAATGAGAAATAGGTGGTGTAATATAATATTTGTAGACTATTTCATTGTAATAATGAATGTCCAAAATATTAAATTGGTTCACGTATTATTTTTAAATATTTAAATGTATTTATGTATATTTTTTTATTTTTAAAATATATGTATATTAATTTTTATATATTAAATATCATAAATAATATTAGTAGATTTGTCATATGTCAATAAGTTAGTACGTAACTCTATTTTTTATTAAGTAAATATTCACGTTAGATATTACGTGTCTGATGACATAACATGTGATATATCATTTTTTTAACTATAGATTATTCTTTTTATTAATTAAGTTTATGAAGATAGAACAATTTTTTTCTAACTCTAATCTTATCCAAATCCCTAACTTCTCTAAATCCTTTAATCACAGCCTTATGATAAAAGAAATCCCAAATTTTCTAAAATTACAGTTTTCGATTAGTTTATTCTCTTAATAGTATTTAACATACAGAAGTTAATATATATACTGTTAAAAATACATAAACTAAAACAGTAAAAAGATTGTATACGAATAATTTAAATATTTAAAAATAGTTCATTAACTAATTTAATATTTAAACCTTTTATCTAAAAAAGCTTTTGGAGACTTGGTAAATTTAGGGTTGATTGGCAATTTTGGTTCGTAAAGGTTAATTAGGTTTAAATGCAAATATGACGATGAGTTCTAAATACACAGTTCAAATTGTATAGTTCAATCTAATTCAGTAATGAAACAATTATTATGAATATAAATACGAAGATAGTTAAGATAGTTAGTAACTCAAAATATTATTAATGCCGTTTATAACAGATTACTCCGAGAAAGAATATATATAAAAAAAAAAAATCTTTTATCAGATTAACATGAATAGAGATCATGGCTAATTCCAATCCTTTTGTTTTCCCCAATTAGAACCATCAACACTAAAGTAAAACCCATCTTCTCTAGCTGCGCAATAGCAATTTGCAGTTTGGCCACAAGTAATTCCTTCATTTTCAGCTCTAAAAACATCGAAGGTGGCTTGTTTGGATTCCCAGTT